GACCCTTTCACAGGGGTCGCCTAAGACCATCGGAAAACACATATATAATTACATATTGTTTTTGTGATTAATCACTATGCTTTAATTATGTTCAATTTGTAACAATGAAAATACATCCTGCATATCAGATATTTACATTACGATTCATAACAGTAGCAAAATTACAGTTATGAAGTAGCAACGAAAATAATTTTATAGTTGGGGGTCACCACAACATGAGGAACTGTATTAAAGGGTCGCAGCATTAGGAAGGTTGAGAACTACTGTGAGTGTCTAGGAAATCCCACAATGCGTCTGCCACCAGAACTACGATTCCCAGCATTCCTGGTGTTCCCCTTGCTCTGGGCTTCCACTTCTGGCCAGGGGCTGCCACCAGAACCACGATTCCCAGAATTCCTGGTGCTCCCCACACTCGGTTTTCGTTTCCAGTCCTGGGGCTGCAGAAACACAAAGGACTGGGAACTTCAGCCACCCACTGGCGGGGCTGACAGGACCGGACACTTCAGTGGCGTCCCCGGGACCCAGGTTGCTCGGCGCCTGCGCGGGTAGGCTTGGAGCAGCCAGGGGGGGTGGGAACGCCCACGGCCACTAGGTGCCTGCATGCGTGTCCCGCCCCGCCCCCTGGCCGCTCAGCGTGTGTGCTTTGCCCACAGGCCTACCCCGCCCCCGGCTGCTTGGTGCCTGCACGGGTAGGCCTGGTGTGGCCAGGAATCGTTTCAGGACTGTGGCTGCTCTGGGACTACGCATGGGCCTACAGGCTCAGAGAGGCTTGGGTCCCGAGGACGCCTGTCCCCGGGATCCAGGCCACTTGGTGCCAGCGTGCTCGCAAGCAGCCGCCCTGCCCCCAGCTGCTTGACGCCTGTGTATGCAAATTAACCTGCCACCTTTGTTGGGTTAATTTGCATACTCACTCCTGATTGGCTGGTGGGTGTCTCAAAGGTACAGTCAATTTGCATCTTTCTCTTTTATTAGTGTAGATGACTTCTTGATATTATTTGCTAAAAATTATAATTAGTTAAAATCAAAATGGCAACATAACAAAGGATACAATATTTTATCTACTGAATTATGTTAGAGACCACCTAATTAACATGAACTTCTACACTAACTTGGAATCAACTTTTCTGGCCATCTCAGTTTAACTGAATATGCTGAGGTTACAAGATAAACTGATTTAAAAAAAAAAATTTTTGAAACTATTTGTTAAGCCCTAGCCGGTTTGGCTCAGTTGTTAAGTTCACAATTTTCTTGGTAATATGCATTCAAAATATGACATAGGAACATATTAGATGATAAAACTATTAAATTGCAGTTGTCATCTGAAACCTCAAATTTCCATTTTCACTAAAACCCACTGTTTCCATTAATTGATTTCACATTAAGGCAGTATTATTACAGACTTATTTAGTAAGCCTTTAAAGATCAACCATAGTAGATGGGTCCTGAGTTGAGGGGTAATCCTAGATAAAAATTTGGGGTTATAAGGCCCTGGGTCATGACTTTGGTCAGTTCTGCTGAGGCCTTCATTCACATTCCAGAGGTGATAGAAAGCAGAACTAGGAAAAAATGAAGGCTCTGAAGATACAAGGTTGAAAGGTAACTGGACAAATCTAGTGAGAGGAAAGATAAGCAGGATTTTGGGGTAGTGTGGTTGCAGTAAGTGTATTAAATTGGACTGGCAAGTCAATTTTGGAGATGCTTACTTGGGATCCAAAATGACAAAGCTACACTAGTATGTTAGAACTAAATTTCATACTGCTGTGTAATATTTAATATCCAGTAAATATACTGGATCAAATGGTGTAAACATTTGGATTATACAGTAAAGCAAAAGTATCATTAGTTAATTCAATATTTACTATACACTAGAAGTCATTTTTTTTAATATATTTTATTAATTTTTTACAGAGAGGAAGGGCGAGAGATAGAGTTAGAAACATTGATGAGAGAGAAACATCGATCAGCTGCCTCCTGCACATCTCCTACTGGGGATGTGCCCGCAACCCAGGTACATGCCCTTGACTGGAATCGAACCTGGGACCTTTCAGTCCGCAGGCTGACGCTCTATCCACTGAGCCAAACCGGTTTCGGCTAGAAGTCATTTTTGTCAAAGAATCTAGAGAATCACTGTCATACAAATACCTTCTGAACATTCCTTATCTTTTTGATATGCATTCTGAAATGTTTACAGATGAATTTCTGTAAGTCATTTCAAATTAATCTAAAGGATAAAGTAAGGAAAAGTAGATGGGCATACAGATGAAACAATAATTGCCATGAGCTGATGACTACTATAGCTGGGTGATTCATTGTGCTCTCTCACTTATATATGGGAAATTTTCCATAATAAAATTAAATATCTGATCTAATAAATTAATGATTCTCCTTATTTTCACTTTCTTTTATAGCTTCTCCTTTCATGAATTTGTATTTTTAAAAGATTGCTGCCCTGACCGGTTTGGCTCAGTGTATAGAGCGTCGGCCTGCGGACTGAAAGGTCCCAGGTTCAATTCCGGTCAAGGGCATGTACCTTGGTTGCGGGCACATCCCCAGTAGGGGGCATGCAGGAGGCAGCTGATCAATGTTTCTCTCTCATCGATGTTTCTGACTCTCTATTCCTCTCCCTTCCTCTTTGTAAAAAATCAATAAGATATATTTTTTAAAAAAAGAATGCTAATTACACTAATTTGTTTAATCATTTTTATCATTCAAATACATACACCAGAGCTTATAGTCAGTCTCCTATTGCAGTCTCTCACTCTATTCATTATTCACTCTTCTATACATCATCTCCAAGTGGTTAATTAGCCTCTATCTGAACATTTCCAGTGAAGAATAAAGTTATTAAGTTCAAGTAAAGTCCATTTTTAAGTCAGAGCTAATTACAGGAATGTTTTTCGTTTTACTAAACTATCTCCTATCAAAAATGTTATATGTGCTCCCAAGTAGTTATGCTTACTGAAACTTCAAGTGACCCAACCCTGAGTCATCAATTACATCAGTTGACAGGATTTAAAAATACAATCACTGGTCAACAGTTCTTGGAACTTATCACCGAAGAGTCTACCTTTTAAAATTCACAATGGAAGAGATAACATATTAAGTAAACCATTACATCTCAAACATTGGCTGTAACTCCATACATTTTTGTCTTACGCCCATCAGTCTCAGCGATCTTTAAAGTAAAAAGATAAATAATGATAAAACAATTTTTTCACAGTTTTTTACCTTCTGGCAAACGTACTAAGTGATTTCTTCTGAGGTTGAGGTCTCTCAAGGCCTCCAAATTACCAATTTGAGAAGGTATTGTTTGAATTTCATTGCAGCTCACGTCCTATTTCAAAAAGATACAAAATAATTATTTTAAAATTCCAAACTTGCCTGCTTTAAACTATCTGTAAAATGAGGTTGGACAAGATACTTGCAGTCCCTCCTGGTTATAAAAAAAATTATGATTCTGTGTCCAAGAATAATCCCATAGTTTGTAATAGCATTTAATTATAAAAATGTAGTCTTCTGACTGATTCTATACATTTTACATATATCTACATTAATTTTATGAGAATTAAAATGAAATGATTTAACAAGTAAGTAAGCACAGAATATCAGATCAATAAAAATGCAGGTGAAAAGGTAAAAAAGGAAAAAGTATAAATGCATCGATGTAGGGCAATATTTTATTTTATATTGTTCTAATAAAGCTAGAAGAAAAAAATGATAAAAGTTATGATAAAATTATTTGAAAGAATATCCTATTTTCTTTTTTTTAATAAATATATTTTTATTGATTTCAGAGAGGAAAGGAGGGGGAGAGAGAGTTAGAAACATGAATGCTAAAAGAGAATCACTGATTGGTTGCCTTTGTCTCCTGCACGCTCCACACTGGGGATTGAGCCCACAACCCTGGTTGTTGCCCTTGACTGAAATTGAACCTGGGACCCTTCAGTCCACAGGCCGACGCTCTTCCCACTGAGTCAAACCAGTTAGGGCAAATCATTTACTCGTAAGTGTCCTTGGTTTAGGGGAGATAGGATTTACTAGATGGCTCCAAACTGCTATTTAACCATCACAGTTTCCCTATTCCACTTGCTGGCTTACTGGCCTGTGTTATTTCTGATACAGAATTTTTTGACTGGATCCTGGATTCTTTGTCCGCCAGAGTCGAAGAATGAGCCCACAACAGAAGATGGTATAGCAAAGGTGGAGATTTATTGAAGAACAAGTACAGACTCCCACGTGGGGAGGGGAAAAGAGTCCCACAGAACGAACTCCCACGTGGGGAGGGGGAAAGGGTCCCCCTATTTTCAAGCCCTGGCAAGCTAGCTCAGTTGGTTAGAGCATCATCCTGATATGCCAAGGTTGCAGGATCGATCCCTAGTCAGGGCACATACAGAAAGTGTAAGTGGAACAACAAAGCAATCTCTCTCTCTCTTTCTCTCTCTCTCTCTCTCTCTCAAATCAATTTAAAAAATAAAAAATTCCACATAAACTTTTAAAAACCCTATTTTTAAAATACCAGTTCAGGGAGAAACCAAGATGGCGGCATAGGTAAACACCGGAGATTGCTGCCTTGCACAACCACTTCAAAAATACAACTAAAAGACAGAATGGACATCATCCAGAACCACAGTAAGGCTGGCTGAGTGGAAATTCTACAACTAGAAGGAAAGAGAAAAGCATACCGAGACTCAGAGGAGGCGCAGTGCGGAAGTAAAATACTAAGGTGCGGAGGTGCATG